CACCGGGACGAAAGGTTGACAGCAGTTATTTTTCGACAGATTGAAAATAGACAGCTGCAGGAACATGTCCAAAGATATGTGGGTTTGCTCTTGCCAATTTGACCTCAAGGTGAACAACCACCATCAACGACAACCGCCATCAACAACAAGGCGGACAACCGCCATCAACAACAAGGAGGACAACCACCATCGACAACAAGGCGGACAACCGCCATTAACAACCAGGCGGACAACCGCCATCGACAACAAGGCGGACAACCGCCATCAACAACAAGGAGGACAACCACCATCGACAACAAGGCGGACAACCGCCATTAACAACCAGGCGGACAACCGCCATCGACAACAAGGCGGACAACCACCATCGACAACAAGGCGGACAACCGCCGTCGACAACAAGGCGGACAACCGCCGAAATCAAAACGTAACAAAACTAGACTCGCCAACCCGCAGCACGCAACGCGAAGTTTTCACAATGGCTCTGAATGATGATCGGCTGTACAAACTCATTTGCGTGCCAATCCTATAAGTCTCTCATAACGGCGCCTTGACATGCCCGAGGCTTCAGCGATAACACTTCTGCGCCAGCGCTCCTGTGCCGTGCGGCTGGATGAAAAAGCTGGGGCACCTGCACCATGCGTGGCCTCGCCTCCAGCATCAGGTAAGGAAGATCTCTCACTACCAGCTTCATGCCCTGGTTCTCCAAGAGATGACGATGGGCCAGGAGCATCGCCATTTGAAGTTTCAGCTCCACCAACTCCAAGTTCTGGCAAACACGAAGCTGAGCCAAGGTCTGCGTCAGCTTCACTTCCAGGTTCTGAAACAGACGAAGCCAAGCATCCAGGTTCTGCGACGCTGCCACCATCAGCTGCGCATTCACGAACAAAAGAAGTTGGGCCCAGACTGTCATTTTTGATTGGCTCATCGACTGTATCTTGAGCAGGTGGGCTCACACCAAAGTCAGCATGCCTTGGACATTCGAGCTGGTCTTCACGCGGTGGTTCACTGACGCCAAAAGTTACCGTGCTATCATCTATCTCCTCCTCTTCTTGCTTGATTTCTGGCTTGACACTATGCTGTGCCACGGGCTTGTTCTTTTTCTTTTTCTTCTTATCTTTGCGCTTTTCTTTCTTGACTGGTTTTGTTTTTGGCGTGAAATCCTCCACCAAAGGCCGACCAAACTCATCGGTGTCCGCTGGTGAGGTAGGTGACCTGTCGCCATCGGCTTGAGAGGCTTGCTCCGAAGGACTCATCTCCGCATCGATCTCCCGGGAGGTGTGCTGCAGCAAGACAAGGCAAGCGGCCGCCATGGTAAGCCAGGCTGTTGAAGGCGGACAACCGCCACATATAGCGGACAACCGCCAAAAGCAAAATGTTTGAGCAGCTGGGGAACATCAAGAATGCGCAGACAAGAAAAGAACAGCTCAGCTGGAATGTTTCAACTCAACATCTGAAAAAATCTGCAAAAGTGAGCAGCTTTACAAGGCCTGCGTCTCCCTGAATACTAATTCATTGACCATACAAACACACTTCGATCAATGAGATTATCACACCTATTTCTCAGATCGCCCACAACCCGTCAAGAAAGTTTGTACTTTCAAGCGCTACCCTATGGGACAAGGATCTAGAATCGGTCTTCTATTATCCATCTATAGGATCTACGGAACGCTAAATCCCCGCAGCCGCCAGCATGATGGTGTGCACCATGAGGCATTCCGGCACCGTGCGCAGCCACCAGGGTAGAGATTCAGCTGCTTCAGAGGAATGTGCTGCTTCAGCTTCTTGAATTTCAGATTGGCAGCTTGACTTGGCCCTTTCACAGCAGCCTTCGCAACGCCTTTCGGCTTCTGTGCCTTTGGCTTGGCAGAAGTCTTCGCAGAAGGCTTCTTGGAGACCTTGACTGAACCCTTGACAGAACCAGGCGCGGCGCTCGGCCTTTTGAAGCATTTCCCCTGTTTGCAAGGGCTTCCCCTTAAAGAGCTGGTGCCAGCCCCAGCAGCAGCCTTTCGAGCATCATCCATTCTGGCCAAGCTCTCCCGCAAGCTCATGCCACCCTTGCTTCCCAAAGCTCCGGTCGAGGTTGCCTGCCATCACACAAGCAAACTGCGATGACAAGAAATCAATCAGACTGCTACAACAACCTCCTGGTTAAACACCTATATATAGATCTTTGTGGATATCGAACCAAACATTAGTAGTTAGGCATATGGACAATCTTGTAGCACACCAACCCCAATCATGAACCTAATAAGAAGTCAACGCCGCTTCGCAACACAACTTCTTACTGAAACAAAGACGAGATGCAGGCTGTCCTTCTGGCTGTGGCAATGCTGCTTTTGCTTCGATGGTTTTGCTCACTGGCTGCGGCTCTGCTGCAACAAGATTCGCCCCCTGCTGCATCGCCACCACATTTGCGCATGCGTTTGCTGGCGTAGTGTCTTTCCCAATCCCTTCTTGGAGGTCAACTTGCTTTGGGCTCGTTTCTGCTGGTCGGTCTTCCAAAGCCAGTGGAGCCCTTGCCTCAAGCAATGAATGCAAACTGGTGTTTGATTCAGCTCTGGAGAGCAGGTTCTCCAGCGGCTTAGGTCTGGGAGTCAAAGTCACTGGCACTGAAGATTGCCGCTGCTGAGCTGCCATTTGAAACGCGGCGTTGAACATCATCATGGCCTGTGATGTCGCTGCCATCATTTGCTCAGCACCAGCGCCCATCAAGACAAAGTCAGGCTTGTGGGTTGCACTTTTGTTAGTCGAGCGCAAAGGAACCTTCATCGACAACCCCTGCGCGTCCATCAAGGGCCACTTAGGCTTTACAAGCTGCCCAGCCGGTGGGAATGCAGCGCATCTCAATGCCTCCGATGCATGTGTAGGATCTGCAGGCAGGGAGGTAAGGTATTCTTTACCTGGCAACTCATGTAGCGAAGCACTTCTCATGCGGTTGAGAATCGTGTGGACGTGGCCCTTGACATTCAGGTACAAGCTTCGGAGATCTGGGCCACCGCCTGAAAGTTTCTTTCGGCGGTCTTCCGGCTGCTTCATCGCAACAATAGCCGTCAAAACAGCCTGGGTCATTTCGGAAGGTGCACGCAATCCGACTTTGAAAGCGTGCGTCACCACTTCTTCCAACGCTGCCGTGGTGTTGCGCTCTTCGCTTTCAAGCCGCTGCCATAGATGCTCACTCAGGTAAGCAGGCAGCATCTCCCACGATTGCATTTGCAATCGCCTGGACTCATTCGGCTTGTCATCACTGGCATGCGCGGCCTCCATCTACCTTCCCAAAAAGAAAAATGCGGACTACCGCATGTTGCTGGGAAGGTGCTGCTTCTCAAGAATGCAAAGGCCGGGATACATGCCAAGAGCAATCTGCCAAGATGCAAGTGGAGGTGAAGAAGGATTGCCAAGAGTAATGATGAAAAAGAATGAAAGACTCAGAAATCAAGGCCCACTGATACTTGGTTTGGCGTTTGTCTTCGCAACAACAAATAACAAAAAATTCTGCAAAACATGGCAATGACACAACAATGTTACCTCCCAGCACAGATTTTGAGCAAAGCTTGTTTTGTTTAGTTCCAGGCACTCAAAAATGTAAGTTCTGTAAGTTCTAAGTAAGTAAAATCACTTATCTATGCTAACTTACTTATAAAATGATTAAATTCGATATCTTACTTATATCTAACATATAAGACGTCTTGGAGTTACTCTATGTTACACTAAGTTATAAGATATGTTAAAGTATGTTATAACATGACTTAGACCTACTTATAACTTGGTATAACTAAAGGTGTCCTCATTGTATCTGCATCTTCGATCAACACGAGTGGCAGTGGCTGCCGCCGGCCGGGCGGGCTGGGTGGCCGCTGTCTGGGCCTCTCTTGCCGTGGCCTTCCACCTTTCAGTGCTGAGCCGCCCAACCTCCCTGTAGGAGAGTCTGGGGCGACCAGCTTGAATTTCACTCCGATCCAAGTCACATCTGTGGACCGTTCTCCTTTCTTCAGTGACAGTCGCAGGCCGAGGGCGGCCATAGTTGTGAGGATGCAGCCCAAGGTTCGGTTTCGGGTTGCCAACCTGCCGCATAGCACCCAGAGCAAATCGTCCAGGTAGACTTGACGCATGCCCCTCTCCGCCGGGATGATGGATTGGATGAGCCTTGCAGTCATGGCGGCAACCCTGCTCCATGTCAATGGGGTACGACTACCTCATGGTCACACGCCCAGAGCGCTTCATGGAAGAACTACGGAAGCAACTCGAAGCCTGGGATCGAAAGGGCGCGATAGGAGTCAGCGAATTGAGACAAGCAGCGGGGCGAGTGGCCTGGTTAGCGGGCGTGCTGCCAAGGGCACGGTGGGTCACCTCGACGCTCTACGCTGTCCTCTACTCCCACGAGGCCGACCAGTCGAGTGGGGCGGAAGCCGAGAGGAGGGCGAAGCGCCAAGACCAACTACCAAGAGTTTCAAATTCGTCTTTCTGTAGTGAGTGGCTAGAATGCACTTGTTGTGAATTGTGATTGTCTCTCGGCGCTCAGCCTCAGCGATGGACTGAGTCACTGGCTCAAAAACCTCCTGCACTGCTGCAGCGATCGTAGCTGCGGTTAGCCTGTTCAGACAAAGCAATCGGCGCAGACAATGAAGAGAATACATGTATGAAAACAAACCATCAGTGCTAGAATCTCTCAGCGCAGAAAATGAAAACAAAACATGTATGGAACATGACCAAACAGCGTGTATTCGAACTCATGAAAGGAACCTGACGCATTACACCTAACAGTCGTCCGCGTCCGGACGAGGGTGATCCGCTGGCTTGCCTCCACTCGCCATGCAAGGTCCTCCTGCTGGGATTGTGCGCGAAGATGTCTGCAATCGCTTGCAGTAACTGCTCCAAATGTGGCTGCCAAGAAGTATGCGCCAGGGGCAGGACTTGGTCGCGAAAGTACGCACAAAATTGGGTCGCCATTTGTCTCATAAAAGGGCCATCTGGCTTTTGCTCTTCCCTTTCCCGAATAGGCCAGACATCTATCACCAGTAACAATTCGGAATTGCCCAAGCTGATGCCAAAGTTATCTGCTTTGGCATCCCAGAGGCATAAACCGAACACCAGGAAAAAACCTACAAGTTGGAAGCACTTAGCCCACCAACGGCAGTGCTCCTGCCAAGCACCGAGTGTGCAAGATTGTACGACGCCCTGCCGGAAGATATCTTCCACAGTCCTGGCGGCTCGTGCGCAGATCATGGCACCAGCCTCGACGTTGTCCTTGGTGGGTCCCATCAACTCCCAATCCGAAGATATGGTCTGATGACTGCGCTCGCTGTTGTGATCCTGGGAAGTGTTTTATGTGATGCCACGTGTCACCAGCGAGCGCGCGGCGGGTTCTAACACAAGGGCACGGTAACATTGACGTTGTTCAGCGGATTTGTTGTTCAGCGCATTTCGCGCACTCGACACGCACGATCTCCGCAGAGGGTTGCGCGGGCACCGGACAAATCGCGCTCTCGCCTGCATTTCGCGCACTCGACACGCACGATCCCCGCAGAGGGTTGCATTTTCGGTTGACGCTGTTCGCCCCACCCTCCGCCTTTAAGAGAGAATTTATAAAGTTGGGAAAAATTTTTTCATTAGGACATCTCCCGTGCTAGTTTTCCATGCTCACACTTGCCTACTCATTGCATGCTTGCGTACTCATTGCATGCTTGCGTACTCATCATTGCACTTGCATCATTACACTTACATACTTACACTTGCATACTTTGACACTTGCATACTTTGCACTTGGATGCTTTCGCTCTTCCACTTACACTGGGGTACGTATAGCGTCCTGCAAGTGTGATGGAAGTGTCAGTGTGTAAGTGTCGAAGTGTCAGTGTTCAAGGGATTTTCCGGAAGAACCCTTCGCAATGCTTTCTGGAAATATCAATTATGTTCATAAGTTTGCAAAGGAAAATGAAACGAATTAATCAAATGAAAGGAATTAGCCCTCTTTAAAAGGAAATAAGAAAGAAATAATAGTTGATGAAAGGAACACGAAATGAGTTAATTTGCCATGCATTTGATGCGTCAGGGTTTTGATGGTCCACCTGCACTTTGCCTTGGCAACGCCACGCGCGCATGCCTCTTCTGGCCTCTTCAGAAGGGGTATGTCCTGGACTCGGGTGGCTCTGCTTATTGGGGCCATGTGGTGAACCCTGACGAATGGCAGTTCTTGACTATCGTGTGAGGAACGGTTTTTCATGACTGTTGACTAGTCTCAGCCCCAACAGCTGCTGAAGTGCTATTTCTCGCAGGCCCAAGTTGTCAAGAAACTGAGCTTCAATGAGCTGAAGGCGCTGGCTGAAAATCTCAGTTGCCCCCTGCCCTTGGAAATTCTGAGGCGCTGGGAAAAATGCCCAGGACTGATCTCGCAAACTGCATTTTGGATCATATTGGCATGGGTGATGGTTCGGCGCTCAGAATCAAGGAACTGCTGCGGAAACCTCAGCCTGAGTCAGAACCGGCTGGGGCTGCTGATGGTCCTGAATTGGGAAGCACTTTGGATGCGCTGGTCCTATGGGATATGCCGCCTGAAGATCAAAAAGAGTTTCAGGATGCTCAAGAGCTCATTGTGAACCGTCGGATCAAATCAAGTGGATGGACACTGGTTGAGCGCAAAGCCCGTGATCAAGAGAAGCGCTCGGCAAAAAACAGGAAAATTACAGCCAAGCCCAAGACCAAGAATAAGGAGGCTAACAGAAGGAAGAAATCCCAGAAGCCCAAGGCTAAGTCAAAAAGCAGGAACAAGCGCCGCAAGGTGCTGGACACTTCAAAGCATGTGGACACTTGAGAGTATGCAGCTGCTTTGTTTTTTGTTGAGCACCCTTTATTGTGTGTGAATAGCAGGGCAATCAAGAAATCTACAAATGTTTTTTGGTAGTTTTTGTTCTCCAAATGCAGTGGAAATTCGATCATCGCCCACACTTGATTTTCAACTTTCAATTAGGTTGCAGGCTTGGTTTTTGCAAACTTGCGCAATTGATCCCGGCCCTGGACATTGACAAGCACATTGGTTCTACTATGCAATCTGATTATACACCCAGCCTTCCGCCGGAGCAACTGGAGGGCAACTTGAACCTGCTGGTGGGGCCAGACTCAGCCTTGGGAAGGCCAATCGTTGTTGAGAACTCGCAGTACTGCAGAATGATGACAATGACGACATAATTGTTTACGATCCAGTTGTTGCTTCATCATCAGCAGTGCCAGCTTTGGTTGGTGCATCGCCGTCAGCAGAAGTGCCAGCTGGGGTTTTGGAAGATGCCCCTGCTGCTTCATTGCCAGAAGCGAGCTGTGGTTTTTGGAAGGCGCTGCCGCCCCTGCTTCATTGCCAGAAGAGCGCCAGCTGTGGTTTTGGAAGATGCCCCTGCTTCATCAGAAGCGCCAGCTGTGGTTTGGGAAGATTCTGCTGCTTCATCAGAAGCGCCAGCTGTCGTTGCTGCTGCTTCATCATCCAGGGAAGCGCCTGCTGGTGGAGGAGGCTGTGGTGGCTCGGCAGCCCCAAGAATCCCGCTGTCGTTTGGACTGACATCCGCTGTGAGAACTGCCATGAGTTATCTGGCCAGTTCAAACTTGCTGAAGCGCCAGGTATGAGGGAGCCAGCAACCTGGTTTATGCGTGTCCGTCTTGAAGACAAGTCATGGCCCACGCAGGGCCTCAAGTTTCATCGAAGGCAAGTTCGGCTTGTGGGCAGATCTGAAGAAAACGTGCCGCCAAGGATGAGTGGCGTTGATGTCAGCTAAGTGCGATGGGCAATTGCACAGCGCTGCTATAAAAAGATGCGCTGTCAGGGGCTACTCTGTCAGATTTTGTTTGTGTGTGCCATGTCGAGGAATGAGAGGAAATTGAGACAAATGTTATTGTTCCCCACCTGTCAGGTGAGGGTTGCTAGATTTTATGTCAGCCCTATCTCCTCCTCCGCCGGACCTCAACCACAACCATCCACGCCCAGTGTTCCCTGCCGGACCTCAACCACGACCATCCACGCCCAGTGTTCCCTGCCGGACCTCAACCACGACCATCCACGCCCAGTGTTCCCTGCCGGACCTCGACCACGACCATCCACGCCCAGTGTTCCCTGCCGGACCTCGACCACAGCCCGCAACCACAAACACAGAACCACAAACGCACGACCGCAAACGCACAACCACAAACACAACCGCATACACAACAACAAACACAGAACTACAAACGCAACCAGAAACACACAACCACAAACACAACAACAAACACACAACCACAAACGCAGC